TTGGGTAGCCATGAAATTCACTTTTGCCTCTGGCTTTATGTAGAAATCGATCTGTTTAGTCCAGAGATTAAATAGAAAGCGAAAAGGAAACGGATAACAATTTCATATCCTCCAGGTCTGTGAAAAGGTCATGGCGACGTCTTTTAAAATATCCATTTTCAGTGAATTGTTGGTGCTTCTCTGTCACAGCGGGAGCAAAAGAAAAACCACTGCAGAGATCAATCTGCCTGAGTTTTGAAGAGCCATTTAAAATTCTGCTCAGTGGCACTCCATTGACAGATCAGATCAGAGCTCGCCAAGTGCCCAATCTCAAAGAAACCGCGTGTGAGCCAGCTAGTTTCTGCCACAATACAGCTGATTGTCTAAGTTTGATTGACAGTACCCCACTATTGAGAATTATGTAATGGTTGTTTAGGAACAGCAGTATGCAACTGTTTTCACAGCACAAATATCCAAATATGCCAGATCTCTCATCTTCCTGGCTACAGCTTTTGATACAATTTCTTCAGTTGTCAAGCTGTGAGTGCAGGTTCTGTGTAGCCAATGTACTTTAAAGCTGCTCTCTCATTATTGTGCTTTTAAGTTAATAATTATATGCTTTTTATTTAAAAAAATATTTTACAGGTACTCTTATTCCCTTCAGGATAATTTGTAATTACTTATTTGTGATAAGTTCTTATGCAGCACCATCATCAGATCAATTGTTTAATTTCAATCAGCCACCAGTATATTTTTGCTACTTTGCTATTTGCTAATTAAAAAATGTCTGGGGTGCTAACACCCTAAACTAACATGGTGAACTTGCCAAATATACAGTATTAGCTAAACATTAGCGTGCTAGCATATTGTCAGTAACCATGCTAGCATGGTGACATTAGCATTTAGCTCAACCCCAATGGTGGCACTGTCCATGTGAGGTGCTGCTCTGCCATTGGGATGAACTTAGGGTTCAGTGTCTTGCCCAAGGACACTTTCACATGTGGACTGGGGAGAATGGGAATTGAACTGGCAACCTTCTGGTTGGTGGACTCCCGCTCTTCTACTTGAGCCACAGCCACTCCTGGCTTTTGAGTACTTCACTTAAAATGGTAACTCATTTGTAAGTAATTGCCTTACATTTTAGAATTTGCAGAACTTTGTCTTATTCTTAAAACTGACCCACTCATACAGTACAGTGCCACAAAATGATTACAATAAACCCCTGCAACTTGCAAAGCCAAGACTGGTGGCAATGTGATTAGAGTACTGATTGTATTCATTGGTAAAGAGAAGAGGGGAGTGACATTAGGAAGAGAGGAGCAGAGGAGCTCGGCCCTCTTCTCTGTCACGGGAAACACAGAACAGAAGGTTTCAAGGGGCAGACTTGCCCGAGGGGAAAAAAGAATCCAATTTTCATCAGAATACAGTCTGACACATTTGCACTGCTTCAAAGTCACTGCAAGCCCAGACTTCAAGGTATCGTGTGCGTTTTATCAATGACTAGAAATAGGAAGAAAGGGAGGGACAAGACATAGACAAGAATAGGGAGGAATCCAGACATAGAGGGGAGACAAAGATTTGAAGAGAGGGATTGGAGCAATGTGAAGACATCCTGTGGGAATTCTTGGCCTTGAAAGGGATTGTATAATAAGAGTTATGACTTAACAAAAAGGAAAAATGGTTATGGTGCTGGATGCATTACCTCAGAAAGGAATAAAGCAGTATGTGCATTTACATTACTTACTAAAACGGTGTATTACCCAGGGGGGTGGGGGGGCCTGGTGTAGAATAATGTTGCTGCTTTTTCACATGCCTCTCTGTCTCTGTCTCCCTCTCCCTCCCTCTCACCCCACTCCAGCCAGGATTATTGATTAATACTACAGTGGCTGCCCATTACAAGCTGTAATCAGCCACTGGAGACTAAATCTCATGGTTTTTCATTTATATTTCCTCCAGTTTGCTCCCTTTTCACCCTGTGCTACTTGCTTACAAAATGTTGTCTCTGTGTGTGCAAATGCATATACTGTAGCGCATGGACAGAGTTGTATGCATGTGTGTAGCAAGTAGGGTTGCAATAGTATGAGATGAGATTCACGGTACGATAACCACCTCAGAAACTATCATGGTAATATAGTAGACAGTTTTATACCATTACTGTTATTATTATTATCAGCAACAACAACCCTCAGAGGAATGAAAACATTTAATTAAGTATGTGAATGTTGGTTGAACTGGATTGGGAAGTGTCTTTGCAGAGTTAGCTTGACCCTAAAGAATTAACACAATTATAATGATAAACAGAATTGTAAACAAGATCAAAAATAGCATGTAGCTATAACAAGTTGTATAACTACAACATGTTGGTACTGGTGGTAGAGGAAGTTTTCACACCCTTTACTTAACTAAAGGTACTTCAGTCAGAGGTTGATGAACGGACAGACAACACTGATGTTCACTAACTGGTTGTGGGATGTGGTAAAATGTTTAGTGCATTTTATGAAAGATGATTCAACGTTCACACTTTTTACCATTAGAGAATGAAGCTTTTAATGGGACACACTCTGGTCTACGCCAACGAATTGTTTTCATTTGTGGGATATCCAGTGTAATCCCACAATGCTGAGTTTAATTTCTTTATCGTGGGTGGAGATGTATTGTTCGTAAGTGAGGGGAAAAATGGAGCGGCAGGTTGACAGACGGATCGGTGCGGCTTCCACAGTAATGCGGTCTCTGTACCGGTCTGTTGTGTTGAAGGAGCTGAGTCGTAAGGCGAAGCTCTCAATTTACCGGATGATCTACGTTCCTACCCTCACCTATGGCCATGAACTTTGGATCATGACTGGAAGGATGAGATCGAGGATACAAGTGGCAGAAATGAGTTTCCTCTGGAGAGTGGCTGGGCGCACCCTTAAGGATAGGGTGTAGAGCTCGGAGTAGAGCCGCGGCTCCTCCACGTTGAGCGAAGCCAGTTGAGGTGGCTTGGGCACCTGTTTAGGATGCCCCCTGGACGGCCCCCTGGAGGTATTCCGGGCATGTCCCTCCGGGGGCAGGCCTCGGGGCAGACCCAGGACATGTTGGAGAGACAGTCTTCCGGCTGTCCTGGGAACGCCTTGGGGTTCCTCCTGAGGAGCTAGAGGAGGTGTGTGGGGAGAGTGAAGTCTGGGGGGCTCTGTTTGGACTACTGCCCCCGGACGAAGATGGATGGATGGATGGAGATGGTTAATATCAGCCTCCCTTCTCTCTACCATTTTCTGTGTTGCACATGGCAGACAGTCGGGGAGGGAAGGAGATGCACACACAGGTTTTTCCTCAGTACCAATAACAAACAAATGTGTGTACAGTACTAATGGAACCATCGATTTTCATACCATGGTGTACTGTGAACCTGGTATACTGCTGCAACCCTAGTAGTAAGTGTAGGGAGGGTGATGCTCTTCTGGAT